TGACTCTGTCTGTATGTTTAGCTACAACTATGTAGTGAAATTTAAGGAATTATTACTTTAAAAGTAACAGTGGCAGTAAAAGTGCATGACATCATGGCAGTTAAACTTTGCAGTTAATCCACAGTTCACGTGCGTGCTGAACAGTGGGGGGTGGGGGGGATCCGGATCAACTACAATCTGTTACACCACTACCACTAACTCCTATCACAGTTTACACAGCACGTGAAAATGACCTCAGCGAGACGGCTACATCGATAGCTCAGACTGGTTGTAGATCGGGCTCAGATGACCCTCAAGCCCTTCAGAACTCTGTACACAATTCACAGTGTGTTCTTGAATAAAAACACCCAAATCCTAGTATTAAACATCCCACTGCCGACTCAGGTGGACGATGAATCAGTTACCCACTAGTCATGACGCCAGACTCAGTGGCGGAACCACTGACACCAGACTAACTGGGACACATTCAGCCTTTATACTGGTAAGTAAACATTTTTTGATTAACTACATATCTGTGTGGTTTAAAATTACACTGTATCTACTCTCCTCTGTAACGCTTTCCTCTGGAACAACATAGTAGTTTATTCTGTGCAAGCACAGTGTGCACGAGACGTGTGTCTGTATCCTGTTTTTTAATTATGTATTGATAAGACCCCAGGAAGTGAACTAGTTTCACTGCTAACAAGCATTTAGTCAGCCAGCGTGGGACATGGTGCATACTGCATAAGAGCACGTAAGGCTTCCTCAGCCTGGAGCGGCTTATCAAACTGGTCCTGGTCTTCTGTGTTTACGTTATTAGCAGTCCACAGAGGTGATGAACACAGAGGAAAGAGGGGCAGAGTATCAGCTTCAGTGCTATGTGATTTACACGTCACAAACTATAATGCACAATAAGAGCGGACACTGGCAGGAGGAAGCGGCAGTGAGTGTCCTTATCTAGAGGTCACTCAGTGATGGACAGCAGCAGCTTTAACTCACCTTTTATTGAATCTGATCCCAGTTCACTATAGCAACAAAACAAAGTTAAACTGTCTTGTGTAACAAAAGACAGTTTACGAGGCTGATGAGCAAAAGACTTTGGGTTCATGCTCTGGGCACCAGGAGTATTTATATGTATATGGTAACCCAGTCAATAGCTGTCTAGACACTTCATTCACTAGGGCTGCAAGTGAAGATTATTGTCAGCATCAATCTGCTAATTATTTTCTCAATTAATCATTTTGTCTATAAAATGTCAACAAATAGTAAAAGATGGCACTATAGTTCCCCAAAGCTCAAAATAATGTAATCACATTGCCAAGTTTATAATAATAATAATAATCCAAAACACAAAAAAATATTCAAATTGGAATCAGGTATGACGAAGAAAAGCAGCAAATCATCACCTTTGACTTTGTAATTTTAACTAAGTGATTAATGCTGTAGTCTGTACAAAATGTATTTCTATTGACTCTAGTGTGTGTTGACATATTTCACAGGATAAGAGGAAATCTGACCTGTCAGCAGCAATGGAGGGAAAGCCAGGAGAATTCATCATCTGGGAATATGAATGGCTATACAGTTCAATGAGAGGTTTGTTGAGAGGTTTCATGAAATGTCAATGATATCAGTGTGGTGCTGGTGCCACAAGTCAGGGACCACCTCAGTCACCAAGACGCCTCCTCTGGGGACCATAAATATCTGGACAAAATTATAGTTGTTGAGACATTTCCCTGTGGACCAAAGGCACCGACTGACATTCCCATCCCTGGAGCTACATCGCTAACATGCCTAAAATTACTGGAGAAGTGCCTCTGGTAAGTCACTTTGACACCCCACACGTCACCCACATTCTTCACCTACATGACCAGACACTGTTCCCTCCTGCAGACCACTTCATTTTCAACTCATCATTAACTTTACTAGTACTCCCCAGCTGCAGTCTTTCAAACAGCCACATATCTGGGAAATGAGCTGAGTGTTCCAGCTTCCTGTCTGTTTAAAGCTGCATTACGCAGAGTCTTTAAAATGGTGACATCAGACACCAGCTGTTGTAAATGTATATAACTCCTGCTTTGCAAACTGCTGAGCTGAACTGAGGTCCACAAATAGATTCTGAGCGTAGGTCCCTGGTGAGTCTAGACGTTGTAGGATGTAATGCAGTGTCATGTTGACCGCATCATCCACTGACCTATTTGTTCGGTAAACAAGCAGTCAAATCTATGAACACGTGTAACAGGTGGTCTTTAAACTCTGCGGACATAAGAGATGCACGATGTAAGTTTGAAGTAAATGTCTACACACAAAGTGTAACAATCTCTCTGCAGACTCTGGATCCTGCTCAGAACGCCTGCAGCCCCAGAAAGGGTCGAAGCTACAAGACATTCCAGGGTAACAAACAACACATTCATTACTCAGGCTGTTTAGTCTGGGGGCTGCTGAGGTGAGGTGCTCAGGTTTATGCCATTGTTGTTCTCACTGCCTGGCTTATGTACATATTACTACTTTGTCATTCTTGTGTGTTCTATTCAAGCCAAGTCCAAAACAAAGCCTGGTGACATCCATAATTTCAGGCAAACAGGCGTGAACGGCGAGTATAAACTAGTGTCAGGCGACGGACACACTCAGTTCTTCATTTTTACAGTTTATGTATTTAAAAACTTCTTCACATATAGAGCAAGTTCAAAGGTACCACTAGAAACCCCCCTAACATTCTTACCTTAATCATCACAGGTTATCGATGAAATCAATGTTTCAGTCAACATGTAAATGACAAACTGCAGCCACAGTCTTTTTCCCTAAATGCTGAGTTTGCCTGCCAATGACAGGTCACTGCTGCACTGTCCAATTACAAGCCAAGTATTTCCATTATAACAGTTTTCACTGACTCACCCTTATAATCCACCATTCATTTCTTGGCAGGACAGCAGAGGGGAAACTTCTGAAACAAGAATTTCACTTGTCCTTCTGCTTTCCACTGTTATAAAATACATCAATTAAATGCTTTTTAAAATTCAGCCTGTGATCCCAGACAGCCATTTTGAAATACATTAATTAATAGTCTTAAATGGCCCATGGTGCTTTTTCTTGTTTTTTGACTTATCTACAATGTTACAATGGTGAATTCTCATCTTAGACATGACCTTAAGCTCAGAAGATGAGGTGAACGTACATTCTAGTATTTCAGGGTGCCAAGCTCATCTAGAGGTACCCAAGATTTAACATTAAATGGCTGGAAACCAGCAAAATGAGCAGCCATGGGCACTTTACATTTTAAACCTGTCTCTCTTGGGTAAATAGTCCATGAAGTTCATCATTTGATTACATTAGCTGGCCTAATCTTAAGTTGTCACAGATACACAAAAGCCAATAAATAAGCAAAACTCCACTTATCCATGTTAGCACAATGAGGTGAACTGAAACTGTGGTCCCCATCTCAGCGATGAGAGTCAACCCAGTAAAAACCTGCAGCAAGAAAACAGAGGCATTGGCATTTAAGTGTGAATTTGGGCCACAGCTAACTATGCTAATAGTCCAATAACACAGCCAGTCAGTTCATCTTCCAGCCCTTCTTCAGGGATGTTGAACTGTTGCCAGCTAGGTGGGATATTTATATCCTTCTACATGAAACATAAGGGCAGTTACACAGTCTTCGGGTGAGAATAAAACACCAGGGAAGGCTGAAAGTTCAAACACACCCTGTCATTGAGAGGGATGCCTTAGATTTATATACCAGCCTGAGGTGTTTGTCATGTGAGTGAGTGCAACAAAGCACTGGGGTTGTCTGAGCATTTCATTCTTTGCTCTATACACTGGGTCTCTGTCCTGGTGCATTAATATTTCTGTCTAAAATAGCATCTGGACTGCACTCAGATAGGCTAGTGTACGTACAATGCTCAGTGCTGTTTGGTGGGTTGGATGGCCCTGTATGCCTCCTATTCTTTTTAAGAAGATGTCCCATCATTTCACTTCCATTCATGAAAGGTCTACATTAAAACTGTCTGATAGTGCAGATTGTCTCTAACTTGCTCTTGCCATGAAAGTACAATGATCCCTCTTTCCATAGTTTTTATTTTTAGCAGTTTTAATTTTGTGTTACCTACATCCAGAGCGAGGCTGCTGGTCATTAAGGGACTCATAGTGCCCCCTAGTGACCAGTGGTGGAAAAATTACTTTACATTACTAAAATTTTGTACATTACATTTGTATTGTTTTACAGCTATAAAAATGTAATCATTAGTTATTTTCAGATTAAGAGATTAGGATTTTATATAAAACAAGAAGATTACAAAATACAATATTATATATTATGACGGATTAAACCAGTTACCAGCTATCAGTCTAACTGGAGCCCATCTATGAGTTGTTCCACTAAAGAGACATTTATGGATTAAAATTACTTTTCTAAAAAAAAACTAATAAAGAGATAAAACAAATACAAGACTGACAAAATGTATAATAAAAAGCAACAAAACAGAATATAATAAAACCACAAAGAGCAGACAAAAGACAGTGGACAAATCAAACATACAAGTGGGAACATTTTGAAAACATAAATGCAATAAAATAAACAGAATAAATAACAGCTGTAAATGAGGCAGGTTTAAATTTGTGATGTCAACACTTGGTGAGTCTGAGGGCAAATGTGGCTTTTTTGTATTTAACACTTCAAAAAAAGCATCTATTCGTTTAGATAAATAAATCAGTAATATAAACTGGGTAAAAACACAACCAGCTCCAACAGTAAAATGCTGCTTACACACGGTCATATATAATAATGTATCAGTCACTAGAGCTGTTTTTGAAGAACACGTGTGCCTTTATGTACATTTAGCTGATAATACTTGCGTTCTACAACACTGGGTAGCATCTGCATGCACTGATATGACTTTTAGAGTATTTTTACCTTGTTGTACTGGTACTGTTACTAAGTAAAGGATCTTGAGTACTTCCCTCAGCTGTGCTACTGTAGACAGTGGGATAATATTTCTACCACAACCATTTAAAAACTACCAAAAGGCTGAAATGAACAAACTTTATTACACACTGCATGTCCTTTTTACCATATTACATCAATTCTCAACATCAGAATATATATGGCTCTCATTTCAAGTTACATAAATCACTCAACAAATACCCTGTTTTGACAAAGAACTAATAAAAAGTGCACAAATAAAGTTGGTTCAACTTTACAGAACTGCTGTTGTTTGGAGAAAAAGCGTACAAAAGCTTACATTCAGCAACCTCGGCAGGGTCAGGAGTTTAAGGACGGTTTCATGGGACAGTATCAATTATCTCCGTAAGTAGTGACCCATACATCATATTAAAGTGACACAAATACAAACACACACACACACGCCCACACCCTACAAACTTAAATTTACGCATATTTGGCACCATATTTTAGCATAGAACATAAAATACAGCTTGTAATACAACATAAGTAGATGGAGGTAAGGTCTGATTTTGGCACGTTACAAGAACACTCAAGGTATAAAAAGTTCATGTAACCCTACCTGTTACATGCTCAGTCCTCACTGAAAGCTTACGTTAATAGAAACCCACTTACTAGTATGAATTCCTCTCTTTAAAAAAAAAAAAATCATCAGCTCGCTTAGCCAGTTAGCGTCATGAATGAATTCCCATGTTAGTGATATCAGGTAGCGTATGCTCAGTGCCAAGGAAAGCACCTGATTTCCTTGAAAAGTTCAAAACGGTTTGCATTTCTTCAGCGCCACAATGAGTAATGTAAACACATGGCAACAGAGAAGTTGAGTATGACCTCTGTAAAGCCAAGATGTCATCAATATCTAACAGACATAATGCTATATTGCACTCTAGAAGGAATCCTAAGTCCTTACTGCACAACGGGGACGTCCTGGCCTGTTCAAACCATCTTGACAAACAAAAAGCTGGTATATAAATATAGATTTAATAAAGTATTCAGTAATACTATGTTTATTATAACATCTTGTGTATATTAACATTGATATATAGATTATTTCAACATTATGATATGAAAGATACATATTTATAAATTGCTATGAAAATAGGCAGGTGCTTCTGTTGGACAGAGGCAGCGCCAGATATGTAACATAATAACTAATCTACAGTTACGTATTTTCATCCAAACAAATACAAATAAATGCGTTCACACGTGGCTCACGGAGTAAACCAGGGTGAAACTCCATAGTGAATATGAATTGAAGCCTCCCATGCACAGAGAGGTTTCAATACAGGTCGAGACTGGTTTTCAAACAGGCCAGCGTGAACCATGGAACCTCAGCATGCATGCTAAGCAAGTAGGACAGCGACCTCTGGTGGACACATGGGAAAATGACATCTCAGTTTGGTCCAATGGAGAGTTTACTCTTGATTTGTGATGCCTTATTTAAAATCAGCAAGAGTACACTACTACGCTAAAGTTTAAAGTGTTATCTGAGACGGCACTGAACAGCAATCCGCAATAAATAATGTCAAAAATGGCCCATTGCTCACAACAGTGTATCACAATCTCTTGTTTTCAGCCTCCACAAACAAACATTTACCTCATGTACTGTATATTTGCACCAACATATATATTAGATTCACATCAGTATTCTATCTTAGAGCAGCAGAAACAGATATGCACTGTAAAACATTGTAAAACAAGGAACAAACAAGTTCTTCATTTCATGGAATCCGTGTTGACCTCAGTCTGTGGTGGGGCACAGTACTATGTGTAGAGATGTGAACTAGTGACCATGACCTGGGGAAAACTTCGGCTACATGTGTTTGTCAGAGACAAAGCACACGAGAAGGTTTTCTGCCACAGGCTTGACTGGCAAGCTGCCCTGACTCCTTGGTAACTCCACTGTATCTTCCACAGATGTACCAAACCACCAATCAGAACCACCAACCCCTCAAAGGAACAAATACGCAACACTAACTTTACATGTAAATAGCCTGGTTCCAAAGACATGCAGGCAATGTCCACCATCACAGATGGCTAAGTCACTAACGAGTTAAACAATAAACGAGGAACCTTCATAAAGCTCAATTGAATTAAGGAGCAATTATATAATGAAAACGCCAGCGGCATGCACATTTCGCAAAGAAAGGCAACAAAAATGCCTGTAATCTTATTCATAACATAACTCCACGTTTGTCTATTCAAATTCACTCGACACTGGTATTGAGAAGCTCACAATCTCCACGGTCTGCAAGAAAAAGCTAAACCTGCACCAAGCCACGCTCTAACTCTATAGTATGTCTACTGCCAGCTTTCTACAGTGACATCAGAATGATTACATGAACTATCTACAGTCCTGTTCTACCACAACCTGCATGTTCTCTAACATCCCAAGTCTCCAAAGAAGAAGAAGATGATGCTATTCACTCTTTTCACTCCATCGTATCTGTTCACTATTACACCTCCGCGCTGTGTAACTGAAAGCTCGTGCAGAACAGAACACTGACATCTTATCACTATGAGAGTGGTGCAGTGATGTCAAAACCAAAACAAAGTCGTGCACCCAAAATGTACAGCGATGACAGTGGTTTCCACATAGAGACCACAAGGTGTGATAATGCCAACTCCATCTGCACGGACCAAACTGCACGCAGCATTCAGTCGCAAACATGTTTGTCTCCCCAGGGCTGCAGGGGACAGTAAGGTGCCTGAACAAAGCCCTAAAAGGACCATGACTGAGCCAAAATAAAGCCATAATGGTCAAAGAGCTGCCTGGTTGCCAAACTGGACGACCCTGTGGAGCCATCTAGAGGCCGGTGAGGTCCACAATCGCTTTGATGAAGATGGTGTCGTCGCGGATGTAGGAGTTCTTGGCATCGAGTTTTGATAGCGGGCAGAAGAGCGGACAGCCGCTGGCGATATTCATCTCGCTCACGGGTCTCTGGAAGGAGGAAGAAGTGACATCAGGGCGAAAGGCATCGATGATGTGCTCCCTGTTGCTCTGGTCAAGCAGCATCAGAGTCACCTGGAAATAAAAAAACTATTATGCTGCATCCATCATTTTGCACTGGGCGTTTAAAGGTGAGGAAAATATTCAAGCAGGAGGCCAGTGTGGGAGACAGGAAGGTAAGATGATGGAAAACAAATGATGTTGCTGTTGTTATGTGTCGTGGCTCTAAAATAACTTTATAATGCATCTTTAATTTGGGGCCTTAATACTGCATAGCACAACACTCGTGTACTGGTGCAAAACCTCAGCCATGCACTGTAGTGACCCTCACTATCTGCGTACCTTCTGGTTAAATGGCCATTTGAGCAGGGCGTCACTCAGTCCCCTCATTACCACAAAGAACAAGGACAGGTGGCTGCCACGCCCCGTCCCATCTCCATTCAGGTAGATCCGCAGACACATCTTATAGCCGTACTTACTGGTGTAGAAGGCTGGAAAAAAAGGAGCAGAACGTCTGCTTCAGTCATGAGGCTTCTGTGATCGGAGGTCGAACTGGTTTCTAATGACCAGGATGTGGCCTGCAACATAAGCTGTGTTTATTGTGAAGACCTCTACTCTGTAACGACAGATGATGCTACCTGGTGAGAACATGGCCGGGGCTCGACCTGCAATGGCGTCCTGTCTCTTTTTGGCAAAATCAGAGATCCTCCAGACAAAGACGCCATCAAAGGTGGTGGCAGACATCTCCCTCAGCCGGCCCTCCATCTCGGCAACCGTCAGGTCCTTTAGCCCCACCGTCCTCTCCAGCTGTCGCACCTGGAAAATAAACGGGATTACAAATGTTCTATTCAGCCTGTTAACTACTGGCCAATAATAATTGCAGTTATAAATACAAAAATGTATATTGTGAGATTCAAACATTCAGTCGTGCTTTATGTTTTGGTACAGTAGCTCCCATAATGCCTTGGACAATCACTGAGCATTTGGTGAAAACATTTATGAATGTGGAGACTATAATCCCCCCTCAATCTAAAAGTATGCCTATTAGGTCTGTCTTCACATTATGACTCTAAGAAGATGTGTGATTCCTGACACATCCTCTTCAGTCCTACCTTATTACTCAGAGCCTCAATCTTGTCCTGATCCAGTTTATGCTGACGGTTGCTGGCCTCCATGGTGGTGGCAAACCTCTCCACCTCTCTGTTCAGGACACACACCACATTTTCAAATGTGCTGGCTTTAACTTCAAGCTCCGTGCACCTGCGGCCCAGCTCGACCACCTTGGTCTTCTCGCTGTGGAGCTGGAGCTCCAGCGCTGCACCCACCGAGCTGGGCAGGGGCGTGAAGGAGGTAGACACAGAGAGAGTGGGAGCCAGAGTGGGAGGTGGAGGGAGAGGAGCTGAAGTGGATGGACCAGGGGGGCCGGAGCTGGAGGATGAGGAGGAGGCAGCGGCTCCCTGCACGGGAGGCCCAGAGGAAGTGGTGCTGAGCTGGGAGACCCTGGCCTCGAGCTGCCTGAGGGACTGCTGGAGCTCCACCAGTTTGTGTCCAGCTAGTTCCAGGCCCTGGGGCTGCAGGCCCTCCATGCTCACTTTCATGCCCATAATGTAGTGCAGTAACAGATTGAGGTGCTCGTAGGCGTAGGCGCGCTCATGGTCATGAATCTTCTCCTTCTCCACCTTCAGAAAGGGAGGTGACAACCAGAAGGCTGGAATTAAAAGTTTGCATAGAAGCAAATCCTGCTTCTCTTCTACTGGTCAGAGACGATGTTAAACGATCAGGACATGGTCGGACATCTCACAATCAAAAACAAAAATTTGGAATCTGGGATCCTGCTCTTCCAGAAACATTCCGACCATAAAACAATTACCCTCCCCCGTCTCCTCTCGGATCATTTTCACACAGTCTCTGAACTGAACGTGTGTGAATGTGTCAGAATAACACAATCAGGCTACTTACAGACATGTCACATCCCACGACATGAAATCGACACGGAGTTCTGAATTTGCTGCAGAACTTAATATGGTCCACGTACTAGAGAAAAGAAACAGTGAAAGCCCATTAACTATAATATTTAAGTATTAGTAAGTAAAAAAAAATGCATCAATAAGCAAACGGTACAGGAGTGACTACAGGAATCCCAGTGTGTGTCTCCTGTGCATTGGGATTACATCTGAGCCACAGAGCCAAGCATTTTGAAAACTGGAAGGTGTTTCCAGAATCACTGAAAAATTGTCTGCTGCATGGCCTAAGATTTTTTTAACTAATTTGCCAAGTTGTCTGAATGCATCTCTTTTCTCAATGTGTTCAGTGTGAACCAAAATGTTATTCACATCTTAGATACAACCTTTATAACTTCTTTGAGTTGCACAAAAGAACCCGCTGTGTCTGGCTGCCTGTGAAGGTAACGGGTTACTGTAGAAACTAGAAACTATTTAACAAGAGCCTTAAATGTTCTTGACCCTCTTGTCTTTCTAACATTTCCAGGAACATATTTTTCAGGACAAACAAACGCTTAGCCCTGCAACCTTAAAGTGATGACAAACCCTGAGAGGCACAAACGGACTGTCTGCGTGCCGCTTCCAGATTTACCTTCTCTCTGGGTATTTTCTTCTTGGCACAGCCTTCACAGATCATCGGGTACTTGGGACAAATCTCGTCATGTGCCTAAATCAAAGTGACATTGTTTCTTTTAATGACAGAGCTGCTGTGATGTTCTGCACAGGCAAAGAAAAGCACCTTAGGCCGATATAAATCATTTCTAACCTTGATGTTTTTAAAGTGAAAGGGCTCCTTGCAGTACTTGCAGTTGAGTGTTCTCTCCGGGCACTCTCGCTCATTATGGCGCTCCTGTTCATTGAAGCGAATTCGTTCTTTACAAGAAGGGCAGGGGATGATCATGAACTCGCACTTGCCCTCGTGGTTGATCTGTGAAATGTAGAGCTTTTATGGCATCTCTGCGGTGTGCTGGGAGCCGAGTCTACCCATACACATCCGCAGTGAGGT